TTATTGCTATTATTATTATTATTATTATTATTATTATTATTATTCTGTCCAAGTTAAGAATTTTGACTAGATAACTACATCCGCAATATTCTGTTGAACTAGTACTAAGAGAATATTCTCTTGACTAGTATACATCAAACGTTGAAATAAACTAGCATTAATAATGATAACGACTCGTTGTTAGAACGCATCATAATGGATCTGAAGGAAAGATAAGAAAGGTTGAAAATTTCCTTGAAAGTCTTACGGTTATTGCGTGACATTGGACCTCTATTCCTATGTTAATTAGCTCAATATAGACTCTGTGAGAAACCGGTCCATGATGGCTGAAACTTTATTTGTGGTGTGTACGTACGAAGGCACTTACACTTACACTAAATGTATGAAGCGAAAAAATATCAGTGCAATTCAAAAGTTAAAAAGTTGAACATACCTTGCTCCTGTGTTGTTGTAAATGGTATTTAAAGTTATTCTGAGTGTTTTTGTGCTGTTGTTGCTGTTTCAGTGCAGCATAATAAATTGGTTGGGATGAATTAAAGTGCTTGACGCACAAGAAATTTTAAAATTTTATAAAGTCTTTGATTTAGCCAGTTATTTTTACTTGTTATTCAAGTTTCCTTGATCTTATTTAATATTTCGATTCTTCTTAGCGGCGAGCTTCTTTACTTTTTCCTACACAGAAATTCCCATCACAAATTCTTATAATATTTTGTTATTTTGAGGAAATATTGAAGAATAAAACATTCGAGATATTGTGCTGTTATCATACTGTTGTTTCACGTTTCTTGTACCTTTTTATCAGCCTTCCTCCTCATCGTTTTCCACGGGTGTTTTTCTCCTTGTAGGCCTCTCTTCTCTCCTGTGAGCCTCTAAACGGTTCACGTGAATCAAGTATAAAATGCGGACGATCATCTCAATTATCTCGTGCATTCCTTCAATTAAATCCATGATTTAGGGAGAAGAAACTGGTTTTGGGACAAAGACAGACGAATGCACGAAAAGGGCAAAACGGAGGAGGAGCTCTCAATTGTTATTGGGCCAATCAACGCTTTATCACGTCCGGCGATAGCTTGCCTATTTGCATATCTTTGTATAGCCTCCCCCACAGCCGCTTTCAGTGTCGTCACGCAACGCTGCGTGACGACACTGAAAGCGGCTGTGGGGGAGACTAATCTTTGTAACGCTTGTCGCATTTCGTGCGTGTTTACTTCGAGGAATTACAGAGAACAATGTTAAATTCGTACTTTCAACTCTAAAAATGTAACATCGAAAAATAAAATTAATACAACGATAGTTTAGTTTTGACTTATTCTCACCTTTTAGCTGTCGATCTTACTAGGTTTTTGCTTGATTGAATACAGTCCCGAAATAGTGTCCTCTTGTATGGAAAGTACGACATTGAATGATGCTAGAAACGTCATGATTGTGTGTCCTAGTAATGCCTTTCATAACAAATGTAACATCGGAAATTTGATGTACATTCACTGCCTTAAATGAATCCTGCATTGGTTGGAAAGGACGTTTATTTTCAAATATAAGTGAACACTATTTAGTATCCATTTAGAAACAAACATATATCAATTCAATTAGAAATCTACGGACTGAAACAATCACACATATTGAAACCCAATCCGTCTGTCCTGGCGCCCTTGATCGAGTCTCATTCCACTTCACTGGTTAAAGATATACAAAGCGGTACATTTTAATTTAAAAAAACCACATATTTAAAAGGTGTACACGTTTGAATAAATTTGTTGTGAGATAAAATAAGTGTTCAGAAGTTCTGAAAGAAAAATACACCTAAAATGCTTCAAAGTACCCTCTCCTCACAAATAGCAGTACATAACAATGATTACGTGTTAAATAAGCTCCAGCATAACAGCTCATTGGGCAACCCAGTGCTCGCTCCAAGAGCGTCTTGCTTTATAATCTAAAACGAGTGTCTTTTCATTTTATCAGGATTGCAAACATTAACAAGTTGTTCGATTAATCGATGAACTTGTTAATGTGTGCAGCCCTGATAAAACTAAAATTATTCTCTTTACTTCTCGTTTCGTCAGAAATCCCATATTGCAATCTCTTTCAATCTCCAAATTTACTATTCAACTTTCTGATTGTGTTTGTAATCTTGGTGTTATATTGGATAAGTATCTTGTCTTTTTCTCAGCACACTAGTAATATCTGTAGAAGGCTACCTCACATTTGCTAATATCTTTCTTCAGATAACCTCATTCAAACGTCTTGTGAATGCTTTGGTTATATCTGATCTGGATAATAGTAATATACTTGTCTATACGGCTTAATTCTTCACATTTTAGACCTGGCGCCTTAACGTTGCTTGAAGCCATTATAAAATTCACTTCCTAACGTTAGTATGTTCAGGGTCTCTTGCTTGCTGTATTGATGATTGAATGACGTTATAAGGTGGTGAATGCGTTGCTTGGGTTTTTGATAGAATGGCTTCGTGCTATTAAAAGTGTCTAGGGGAATCCCCTAATGAGAACGTTCCGATTGGTTATTATAATATTCTGTCACGCCATCCAACCAGTTGTCAAGTATGCTAATCTGATCGACGTTTACTCAAGTTTTGGTCAGTGAAGGCGAGTAAATACCTCAAGATAATAGATTTTGGGTTACGTTTTCCAACTGAACACCGTGAAATCAAGCGAGATGATCTACACGGTTAACTTGATGGACTTACAGACTAACCACTTCTGCAATGGTACTTCTTTTTACTCCTCGCTTTCCATCTTGTATGTATTGAATTGAGAAGAAGAAAACTTATGCGACCACGTTTTGGAGGCAACTGAGTCATCTCAACTCCTATTCCAAAGAAAACCGTCTGAAGGTAATATAATTGACGGTTAAATCATTCCTTGAATTCACTCGATTTATGGATTCTATCTTGTATCTCGTGCAGAATCGAGATGAAAGTGAGAATTGTGTACCGAAACTGAGACGGATCAGAATTGCTCGCTTCTTGCACAAAACTTTGTTGACTTATCTACTGTTCGTTATTGTGCTGAGGGTTTTCTTCCCTTCCGCTCAACCCAACTTCTAAACTCCAATTTCATGGTGGAATGAGGGCGACAGGTTTTTTAGACACTGGAAAAACAAGGATGATTTTTTAAACTTTTAGACGCTCAATATGGAAGTGATTGAGATCCATATTGTATTTCAGTCAAAAGTGTCATCCAATATTTTGAATCTCTCTGTGAGTGTCATTACATTTTCGTCCTCCTGCATTTTTTACAAAATTAGCGAAAATGAAAAAATAAATATTTTCATTGGTATATTATTATTAATTACTTATAACATGGATCATGTTTTCTTCTGATTTGACTTCGACTTCATATAAACTACAATGTTAGTTTAAGTGATTCAGTTTATTTTTGAAAATACGCTGTGTCGTTGCGTGACATAAAGAAATATATATTTATATACAATTAATTTGAGCATCCTTAAATTACAACTTCGAATTCAATTAACGAGCAGCTTCAAGATCTGGATTACATTCTACGATAGTAGAACGTTTTACAGCGCTTTTCATAATTCTGCGACCACGTTGCTCTGAGGTCCCGTCCACGCTATGCCGGATAAATTTGAATCCGAATTTTTATTTATTCGGTTAGGCCTACCGTCCACATTCGTCCTGGAAAATCCGGAACAATCCTTCACCGAAAACGAATTTTCGAAATGGAACCCAATAAATAAAAATTCGGATTCAAATTTATCCGGCATATTGTGGACGGGGCCTGAGTTGCACGCTGAAATTTGTTTTTCGCTGCCTTCAATCAAACCTAATCAGTCGGTAACTTTCATATTTTCGATTGGCGGCAGCCAAAATCCAAATTTCAGCGTGTAACTCAGAGCACCGAGGTCGCAGAATTATGAAAATAGCTGTAAAGCTATTAAAATATCAAAAGCTATTAAAATATCAAAAGCTATTAAAATATCAAAAGCTATTAAAATATCAAAAGCTATTAGAATATCAAAAGCTATTAAAATATCAAAAGCTATTAAAATAGCTGAGCACTAAAAGCTCTAAAATTACAATATATCAAAATACTACTGCTTTGCACTATTACAAAAATTCAAAATGCAAATCCTGTAGGAAAAATCTATCAACATTTACGCCAATCGTTACTTCTACTCAGGAGGGAGGAGATGACTCAACGTCTCCTCCCTCCTGCTTCTACTGAATACATTATTCAAGTTTTTCCCAAGGAGGATGTTACGTTGACATATCACATTAGTATTGTTAGTATTTTTTGTACATGCATCGCCAGGATTAAGGATCTTTCTGAGCAACATCTCTACATCTACTTGCTGGTATCTTATATGTTATTTCTACAGCTGCCAGTTATTGCTTTAATATCGAATGGCCGTCCTCGGTCTGTGAAAAAATCAAAAGTTGAAATATTATGTAATGCATTAGCAGTGAACAGGTCACTGAACAAAATGAGATTAAAAATGTGAAGATCGAAGAATCACTGGAATCATCAGTGTTATAGTTGATTGTATATTGAATAAGGCTGAAAATTTCAGTTCGCCCCCAGAGCCTCCGATTGATAGGGATGAAGCCGAGGAGCACAGGGTATGAGATGATGCTCACACGACACGCTCGACACAACCGTGACGTTTAGACATTTCAATAAATTTTTAAGTTTGCCAATTCCCACAAATTTTTCAAATATTTTTTTTTTCTGAAACATGTTGCATTTCACTACGATATGAAAACCGTTCTACCGATTTAACAATATTATATTTTGAATATTTCTGGGGCCTTTAGCTTTCATCAAAATCTCACTTGCTTAAAAAGCAGACCTTTAGCGCTCGGGGGGGGGGGGGGGGTGCGAACGCACCCCCTGCACCCCCCTAGCTACGGGCCTGTTATGAGTGTCTTTAAATTCCTGTTCTTTTCCCTTCACTTTAGATCATGTAGCGACTGAGAAGTTCATAACAAGTTGCCCAATGAAAACTGTAGCAGGTTGAGTTGAGTAAACGATTATTTACTGGAATTATTGACCGCTGAAAATAATGTAAATCCAGATTTTTTTCTTACCCGTATCTTAAATCTTTTCTTCATTTTCTTCAGGTACTTTTTCATTACCCTCGTCTCTTTCCTGTACTTGGTTCCATAGCAGCAGTTGTATAATGTCGTACACCATTCTAAACAACTCGTGCAAGGCTCTCAGTAGGTTCATCAGTGGTGCAATAACAGCTTCGTTTGGATCACTCATCCTGTTCTGTGCAATGTCGGGTTATTCCAGTTGTGTGGTGACAGACAAAACTGGTAGATTTTATTCCACACTATTACATCTACACTATTTACATAATTAGTACCGCCTCCTCCTGCAATGTATTGTTATTCCAGTTGTGTGGTGACAGACAAAATGACTGGTAGATTTTATTCCACACTATTACATCTACACTATTTACATAAAAGAGACATCCCCCGAGCGATCCTCCTATTGGTTAGTTCAATTCATGATGTGATTTACATTTTTGTCGACCAACTCGGTCCCTATTCCACAAGAATAATCGAACTCAAATTCAAGAATTCATTGGACTGGATTTCAAGCTTATTATACCTGTGCTTACATAGGCTAATTAGTTGTCTAAAAAGAAAAAAAGAAAAAAAGATTTAACTATGTGTAACATCTCTGATTGAAATTATATTTATACTGCAAGTTAAGAAATAATACATCTTTTCAAAACTTTAAAGATTGATTTGGGGAAATTAATTCTGACTACATAGAAACCTGTTGAATATGGTTGAAATACATGCGAAAATCACGCTTTCCGAATCAACTCAGGACTAAGGATTTTCGTAAAGATTGCCTTGAAATTTACCCTGAAAACTAAATCTTTGGTGATTGCGTGACCGAAGAGGTTCCACTTTACGTTTAATAGAAGTTTGATTACTGTACATGAATTTCACGTTAAAAATTACGATAGAAACGTTCTTTAAATATATTTATAATCTTGTTTTAGTCGAATAAGTTTTGGCTCGATTAAAAAAGTGGTTACAACAGTTAGTTTATATATGCATAAATCACGCCGCCTAATGATTGCTTGAGCCAAGGTCAATGATTTTTAGAGCGACTGATTGCAGGCTGTTTCGTCCCTCTCCCTCGCCCCCAAGCCCAACACGGGCCTCTGGCACTCAGGGTACCGCCAGTAAGGACTCAAATAAATATAGATGTTATACTTGCTTACATTTAGGCATGATAGACAACACGAACTAGTCTGCGGGGAGTTCCCCGCCCCCGGGGCTCTAATACATTAAAGTACAACATGAGGATCCACCTTAACTTGGAGAGCTCCTTCATTCTATGACATTTTTCACAAATCCAGCCTAGAATAGCTATACTAGGAACCAAGAGAAAATGAACGAAGAGAAGGAATCCCCGTGCCTCACCATATGCACTTGATGCTATTTTTAGAATCATTGATACTATCTTTAACTCGTTACCATGCCCGCGCAATAATCATGCTTCCTTTAATGCCTCGATTTAGGACACGAAAAGCGACAAAAACACAGGGTATTGTTTACTGCAAGACTAGAAGCCGCCTACCATTAAGAAATCAACCAATCAGGTTCTTCGCTCAAAATATATCCAAGCTAAAAATAGCACCAAACTGTGGACATGATGGTTACTAGGCTATATAGGTAGGACCCCCTCTCTTAGTTCATATTCTCTTGTAGGAACGCTTTGGTGTTAGGACTTTGGTGTTAAAAAATGTATTGTGGGGATTTGTGCTGTTCAAAAATCTGCCTTTACTGCCGAGTGTATAATAATTGGAAAGGTGTGCAACTTCGCCCCTCAAAATTCACAAAAACTCTCACTCGGGGCTCAATAACTCATAACTTACTAAGCCGATCGAAAATCTAAAATCGACTACCGATCCTTAAATTGCCTTTCGTTCAAATGATGTTCTGTACAATTTTTTTCTGTACGCGCTACGATGACGGTAAATGTTTATTTTAAACCAGGCTACGGAGTTTGCTGGGTGAGCTTGGGATCGATCCGAAACCAACTCGCGACGTACTCTAGATCGAACTCGGAACGAATTTGTGTTCACACTTGGCAAAAGTTTTGGATAGGATTTGGATTCATCGATAGCAGATTAATCTAATTCAAATCTATCCAGCTAAGTGTGAATGGGCTCACAGATACAGAACATTTGAGCGAACTTTAGAAGCCTTGAAGAAACTAATTAGAAAACAAGATCTAATTAAGTTTATCTATGAAT